CACCCAAACATGGCTAGTATATATGGTAGGGTCTCCCTACAGAATCATATGTTCTTTTCCAAAAATAGACACATTCGAGGAAGATGAGAGAGAAGAGGATGAAAAGGAAGTGTGACATGGCACAGGGTTGATGGAGCCACAGGGAAAGAGGTGATCTACCTGCAGAGCCAGCCGCACCACACCGGAGGTGTAGGTCAGCATGCCGTGCAAAATATCAAGCAGGGAAAACAGCAGGGCGGCAGCTGTCTCGTTGTTGTTTTCATTGTCCACGTCCAAGCACAGTGTGGCAGTTTCGGTGAACAGGTGACAGACATGACCAACTAGCCCTGAGGGTAAACAAGGAGCAGGGTAAAATATTCATCATCGATTAAAAAATAATGTGCCACGTCAACCCAACAGAACAGGTATGTGGAGTCGACGCTGTATAAACTCCAACTAGTCCTTCAACTGTACTCTGTACCAGATACCCTGGGGAAAGCTTTTTAAAATGCAGATTCCCGGCCTCGCTCTCGGAGAGTCCATGCAGGAGCCTGGGATGGAGCCTACGAATATACTTGTTCAAAAGCCTCCCCAGGTTAATTCTGATTACAGCGTTCCCCAAATTACACTTTGAAAAACACTGTCCTATGTGCACAGGCTTCACAGGGATCAAAGACTCCCTGACACTGGAAGAAAATGTGCTATATGCGAACCTCCTGTTCCCGGGTTCTGTTTGAAGGCACAGCTCTTCAAGGAATGACCACTGGCAAACCCAGGAATCTTCCAAGAATCCAGGAGTAATTGGGTCACTTCACGAGGATAAAATAATGAAGGATTTTTTTCTCACAGTCATTCAAAAAAATTTGAAATGTTAAAATTATGATTTTAAGCAATTTGATAGACTATTTTTTTAAACTTTTTTTTAATGGAGGTATTGGAGATTGAATCCAGGACCTCGTGCACAGTAAGCACACACTCTACCACTGAGCTGTATCTCTCCATGCCCCCCTCATTTTAAGCAATTTGAAATTGAGAAATTGCCAAGTTCTAGCATTCTGTCTCTGTAAACCTCACATTAACAGCACAGTTGGTCTCCATCAACTTCTAGGTTTGATGTTAGTCTGTTACAACAAATACATTGAAGTTGGCATTTTTATTATTATTATGTCACATGACACTTGGAATTCACAAAATGACTCATATGTAAACATGGTGAAAAGATAACAGGAAATGTTATAAACCTAAATGGTGACAGAGACCTTCAGCATCAACAGATCTGAAGGTTCTAGAAAAAGTGAATCTTCAAATATAAATATCTTACACAAGCAGATGGGGGAGAAACATGGTAAGGAGGTATGACATGTGTTGTAAGCTGGATCTGCAATCCCTTTATTTATTGGACTTGCAATCCATTTGTCCCTAGTTCTCAGACGATAAATTAGATGGAAGCTCTGCCAAGCACAGCCATCCAAGCTTTGGTATCTTTCCCAAACAATGTACATTGTCATTTCCAGTAAACCAATCTAGTTTTCATAGACGAGTGCAAAGTAATTAAACTAAAAAATCAATTAATTTTGTCACTAAGGATGGCGAGAAACCAAAATTACAGAGCATCATTCAAAGTTGTGCTCCTTCTGGCAAAAACTAGTCTAAACCACAAAGCTGAAAATAAAGACACTTGAAGGGAAAGTAGAATGAATTATTAACAAAATTTCTCCATCAAATGACAAGGTTTGATAGCACAAGTCATCAGTGATGCATAATACAGAAAAGCAATGATCAGGATACGTGCATCACACCAGCAGGCATTCTGTTTTGAGTTAGAATGCATTTAGTCATGTGCACACTCAGGAATCAGCACCTGGCATTCGTGAGCTGCAGGTGGCAGAGAAGGGTATTAAGATGTAGTATTGGGTAAACACACACTACCAAAAAAGATGTCCTCCTTTCGGGAGTTCATGATTACTTTGTGACACATCATGTCAATGGTCCGAGGCGCAGTGGACCCAGCAACGTGGACAGCAGAGAGGGACATGGCTCTTGAGAGGCTCTGGATACCCATCTACAGGCTGCCTGACTCAGACTGAACAGCTGGTGAGCAACAATGCTCTGCCTGATCTTCATTCGTCTTCAATGCAATCGAATCCCTGCTGGGCTGGTAAGTCCAGCCTGTTGTGTGAAAAAACAAAACAAAACAAAAAACAAAAACAGGCAACAAATGCCAAGCTCTGACTTGACACATTGAAGTCACGTGCTGTCAGGGAAGGTGCTCATATGAGATTAGAAATGAAGTATGACAACCATATTTCTTTACAACAGCGATAATGCCAGCAAAGCCCATTAATATGATGTAAGTGGCCTAACCCAGCCATATATTCTCCGCTCTTTGTGGCCAGAACTTTCACTCAGGATGAAAACACATGTTCTTTCTTGTTTAAACTTTTTATTATGAAAACAAAGAAAGTCAGGAGACATTTCAGTAAAATGAATCCCTAACATCCTCTTCAATAATTACCAACAGCTTGCTAATATTGTTTCATCTATCCCCATCATCTTTTCGGTATTTTAAAGCAAATATCAGACATCATTTTATTTCTCCTGTAAATACCTCTGTTAAGTCTAACACTTTTTTAGAAACATAACCAAAGGCTATTACCACTTACTAAAATTAATATACTTCTGAATATACTCAATACATAGTCTGTGTTAAAAACTCAACCGTCTCAAACCTGCCATTTTAATAATTCATTTGCTTGAATCAAGGTACAAAGCAGATCCACACATTCCATTTGGCTGCAGCTCTTAAGGCTCCTTCAATCTCTACCAGCCCTTTCCCCACCTGCAATTTTTCCTGCCATTTATTTGTTGGAGAAATTAGAACATTTTTCCTATGGATGTTCTTGTACTGTTGTCCCTGTATCCCTGTATTTCATGTAAACTGGTGATTAGACCTAGAGACTCAATTTAATTCAGGTTCAATTATTTTGGCAATAATACTCGGAGCTAGGTACTCTATTTCCTGTTGCACTATATCTAGGAGGATATGCTGTCTGGTCGTTCCACTCTTAATGATGTTGAAATTGACCCGTGGGTTCAGGGGTTGTTAGCCTAACACATCCATTATAAAGTCCCCAATGAAACACTATCTACTAATGACCACTGTCCAGTCCCATTATTTCATTAGATATGGCAAAGTGGAATTTTCAAATTCTGTCATGCCTTCTATATTTTTTTCAGTTGGTTTTCTTCTATAAAGAACCTTCCTTTATCAACTTAATCAGTTATCATAAAATATGGTTTGCAAAGGAAAGGCAAGGGAAATGCTTAATAAATGTCTCTTTATTATCATTTACCAGTTATAGATCAATGATTTTGAATTATTTGCAACTACCAAATATGACCAAGGCAGAGGGTAGAGGAAGCTAAAAACCATGATCAAGGTTAC